GGGGATTGAACCACAGCCTTAGTGTTCCAGGACGATGCTCTAACCAACTGAGCCAGGACACTACTTTCTGTTTCAGCAGATGCTTTTGGAGTTTACTTCCATATTCTAAGTAACATTCAATATTGTACACTAGTCATTGACTTATCACTATTAGAAGATTTTCTTGCCTTCTAAGGGAGGATTCTTTTTTGGAAAAACTGTGGCAAGGAGTTTGGTGTGACTGCAAGGATAATTGGAGTGTGGGGGAGGTTCTTGGTGGCAGGAAGACTCAATGGGAAGGATGGGGTCGCAGTGCCCACTGAAGGAGGGGGCACTGAGTTTTGTTTTTAAATTGAGGAGTAACATACATTCAGGTAAGTGCATAAAATATACTAGATGTACAAAAATCCATGATTTTTTAACTGTAAGTATACAGTGTCTCCAGTGCTTTCTCAAGATGTAGAACATTTCCAGCGTTCTTGAAATACCCTGGTGCCTCATGAGAAAGTCTTGAACTAAGACATGGAAATTCATTACTAGTTCTAAATAGTAGCCAGAAAAGAAGGTGGAGCTGAAGATGACCCAGACTTGGGAGACTGGGTGGACTGGATGGTGACTCTGTCAGCGAGCTAGGTAATCCAGGAGGGGAGGAGGATCAGGTTTTAATGGAGGGAGGAGTTCAGATGGCGAGATACATTCAGCTTCAGACTCATTGAATTTAGGATGTCTAAATGGAGCTACGTAGGAGACAGGTGGAAATATAAATTTGGAGTTCTGGGGAAAAAATTGGGGATTGAAATGTAGACTTGTACTTGCTCATCAGCATGTCACGTCCATTTGAGATTGAACAAGTAGATTGGAATTCTCTAGAGTCTGTAGACCAACATGACCTGAAGTTATGATGCGAGGTGTATGTTGCTTTTATTACTCTGTTTTCATCCAAATAGTGAATAAAATCAGTGAGAAAATTTAGTTTAAACATTTAAAAAATAAATGTATTAACAAAAATTCAGTAGTACACAATTTGTTAAAAATGAAAAATAACTTGGTTCCGGGGCTTGTAAGGAAGTGTGCCTCCTTCCCCCACGCCACTCCCCACCCCAGTTTCTCGGGTCTCCTTCCAGATGATTTTCGTGCACGTGCATGTAGTGCATGGTTTGTCTTTTTGCTATACCACACCCCATTATTGCTTTGGTTGGGAGTGCCTTTTCAGCTACTTAAAAGTATGGTGGATAGACTACAGGCATGTGAACAAAATGGCTTTTTAGTTTGATTTGTTTGGCCTTCCCCTTGTCCTCTAGTGTGTTTTATGTTGATGAATTTATAATCTTGACTGAAAAAATTTCTTCCTTTGATTATTTTTTTCATTTTCTTGAAAAATAATACTGATGTTTAAGCAAGTGCATCTTGGTATTCACTGGAGTTCTTAAATCTACCCTTGATTAATAGCACTGCTAACAGTGTCACATTTTTTTCTGCTTAATGTGAATATATTGTTTCTTTAATCTGAGGGGAATGATATGTTTATATTTTTTTTTATTGCTTTGTTGACGGCGTGATTCTCAAGTTAGAACAAATACAGGGCTCCTTAGAGCCCTCTTTCATGGTGAAGTGCACTGTATGAGCTTGTAGCCCATGTTTCGTTTGGATTGAATCTGATCTCTGGTCCAGTTGAGAACTAAACGACATCAGATCTGGGTTCTAGAAAAGCCCTAATATTAATTATATAATCACTGCAACTTACCTAAGCCCTTCTATGATGGTACTTGTTGTTGAAAGAGCAAAGATCATAAGGTGCATTTTCATTCATTTAACAAATACCTTACAGCTACTTTCTGTACTGCTGCTGCTGCTGCTGCTGCTACTACTACTACTACTACTTCTACTACTAAAAGGAAACATAATTGAGTACTTACTATTGTTAGCACTTAATAAATACCATCCTGAGTGCTAGATGTGCAGTAAGGAACAAAATAAGCCTGGTGCTTTCCTTTATGGAATGTTGTATTAAGTGATAATGTCAGAGATAACATTTAGCATCAGTACTTGAAGATCAAGTAATTCTGTTCTCTGAGTTCTAAGACTTTTTCACCTGTCAGAGGTGTGCTATCAGTTGGCTTGTCCATTCTGACCTTGCATGGTCTGAGGGACCTGTGTTTTTCACCAGAGCTCCAGCAGGCACCAGAGCACCACTAAAGTGAATCCCACTCTGTGGGCTCACCGCCCACACAGCAGCCTGTCCCAGCTCGTCTTTATAGCCAGTCAGCCTGAAGGCCAGTCCCACTCACTGATGTGCCGACAATAGTCAGCACTCAACTGCAACAGGACGGCACATACAACCCACACAAGGGACACCCCTGGAACACCCATCTCAAGTGACCAGGGGGACTTTGCCACAGGGCCCCACAGGACACCCACTTTATAAGGCTACCCTACCAAGACCAGGAGGTGTAGCAGATGTACCGAATATGTAGAAACAAACACAGGGAGGCAGCCAAAGTGAGGAGACAAAGAAACGTGCCCCAAATGAAAGAACAGGAGAAATCTCCAGAGAAAAAACTAATGAGATGGAAGCAAGCAATCTACCAGATATAGAGTTCAAACACTGGCAGTAAGGATGCTTGATGAATTAAAGGGAAGAGTAGATGAACTCAGTGAGAACTTACAGAGAGAGAGAAACCACGTGCGTGTTACACACACACACACACACAGAGTCAGGAATACATTAGAGGGAATTAGCAGCAGATCCAGTGAAATGGAAGAGTGACCTGTGTTTTTGACTGAGGCCACATTCCAAAAGTTCCTTCATAGTTGAATCTCAGTTCCTTAAAATGCATTTAATTTTAAATGTGGCTGTGATAGAATCACATAGTATTTAAAACCAAACTAATGGTTTAACTTCCTCCTTCCTAGACAGTCCAACCAGCTGTATGCATTTACTTGGTCCTGCTGGTGTGGGTGTGTCTCAAATCCAGGAGGATATCTTTTAAAGAGATCCACCCACAGCATTCTCGACATATGAATCTGTCACACATTTGTTAGATTTAGGAGCTCTGAAAATTGCCTCACTTTTTACTTTTATGTTCAATTGAGAGAAAATAGTTTAAACAGTTTCAGAGTTCAGGAGATTGGGTAGTGGTATGGCAAAGTATTTTTGGATTTTTTTTTAAAGAGATGATCAGTGTTTACTTTTCTTATGTTTTGAGTGCTTTTGATTTTGTTCAGCTTAATAGCTTATGTGTTATATTGTTAATTTAAAAATTTTCTGTTTTCAGATACTAGCTCATTTCTAGCTATTCTCTTCTAAATGTATTGCAGCCTTCTGCATAAAAGTATTAAAAATTGCCACGAACATATGCCTTTGGGGAAGAAATTGATGAAGACTTAAACTAGTTTTATAGATAGTTTTCATTAAGTTCTTTAGACTATCAAATTGAATCAGTACCAACAGATTCCATGTATCATGCTTATCTGAGTATCTTTCCCTTCTGTCAAATAAAACTGTTTTTATCCAAACTGTTCTAACTTGCAGCATTCAAGTAGCTTTCCCAAACTAATACTAGCATACAATATTCTAAAACATATTTAGCCCTGGGGTATGTACATATATTAGTTCTATAGTTTTGTAAATTTTTATTAGTTTGTTCTTATTAGTTTACATCATGTCTCTGATCAGGTTGTCTGAGAGGGCAAGAATCTTTTATTCCTTTGGGACGTTCTTAGCTCTAGTACAGAGCTCAACTGAGAAATATGCTCCTGGTAAATTTGACTGGCCGTCCTCACTGCTCTCTCACTTCAAATAAGATTAAAGTTAGCACACAAAATGCTCTAGTGGGTTTTTTTTTTTCTAAAATAAGGTTTCCATCAAAATTGACCAAAAAGTAAAAAGCTTTAAGTTATTAGATCAAAAGTACAGTGACTTGGTACCTGCATTTAATATTTGAGCACCTCAAAGGATAAATGAACCAGTGATAATCTTAGTGTTTGAACAGGTACTTAGATGAAGGGGGCAGAATGATTTCGTGATAGTTACTGATCATTGTAACAGTTTTTCCCTTGTGTTGGAATTCACTCTCTACTTTTATGTAATGCTGGACCACTCACAAAATGAGCATTTTACTTTTTGTGCATAATTTATTTGTGTTACCGTTGAAAAGAAAGACTGGTATGAACCATGTGTTTTGACAGGGGCCTAATGCTGATATTTGGAATGCTGTGTCTGAGTGGCTTTAAGAACATGGATCAGGAAAACATTTACAAATATTTTATTCTAAAACTGAATTGACTTTTTAAAAATTTTAGTTATTTATTTTTAGAGAGAAGGAAAGGAAGGGAGAAACATCCATGTGCAAGAGAGACATCAATTTGTTGCCTTTTGCACGCCCCCAGCTGGGGACCTGGACTGTAGCCAGGCGTGTGTCCCGACTGAGAATTGAACCCTCGACCTTTCAGTCCGAACGCCAGCACTCAGTCCTCTGACCCACACGAGACAGTGTTGAATGTACTTAAGATCACTTCATTTATAAGCTAACATACTCCTTTTCAGGATAGACTTTCTCTTTGTTGATTTATATATATTCGGTTTTTCTAATTACAGTTTATGTTCAACATTATTTTGTATTAGTTTCAGGTGTATAGAGTAGTGGATAGACAGTGATGTACTTTACAAAGTGTTTCCCCCGGTAGTTCTTGTTTTCTTTATTAGAACAAAGGAAATTTCGTATTCTCCAGCCATAGTGCTTTAGGATCTATTTCATGAAATCAAATAACAATAGAGGTCAGTTAGGCATTGTTCTTAGGCAGTCCCTCTCCCTCTGTTTCTCTCTTTTTTGCTATTCATCTGAATTAACTTATTTCTTTTGAAAAAAAAAATATGCCCTACTTAAATCTTAGTGGGTATTTTTTTAACTAAGAGAATTCTGAGGGTAAACTAATACAAATCTATAATGACTACTGAGATTTTTAAGTGGAAATTTCTTTCTGGGTGTGGTTGAAATAAGCCTTGTAAATCTCCCTTTCAGACCCATCACATGACACAGAATGGAGGACTGTATAAGAGACCATTCAACGAAGCTTTCGAAGAAACGCCCATGCTGGTCGCTGTGCTTACTTACGTGGGGTACGGGGTGCTCACCCTCTTCGGGTATCTTCGAGACTTCCTGAGGCACTGGAGAATTGAAAAGTGTCACCATGCAACGGAAAGAGAAGAACAAAAGGTGATTGTTAGAGGACTTCTAATTCTGTGAATAGAAGCCTTTTTTAGAAGTCTTGGTATTTTCACTCATTTTGTTCTTTAGATATTTTGGTGCACGTTAAAATAAAAATATTCCAGGTGTAATAAAAGAAAACATTCCACAAAGAACGTTGAAAACAAGGTTAAAGGCATGGAGAAAATAAAGCATTTAACATATTTTAATTTAATCATTACAAGAGCCTATTTCTATTTTATGGATAAGAAAACTAACATTCACAAGTCAAGCAATTTTTCCTAAGCTGCCTCGTTTCAGAGCTGGTGTGCAGACACAGGTTGGTGACATGCCAAAAGCCGTGTTCTTTCTGTTCACAGTGCCATACTGTGTCCCAGGTTGTGTCCACAGTCACCTGAAAAGATTGTGTTCTTAGGACTCATGATGTGTTTTCTCATAGACACATTTTACATGAATGTCTGGGTCACAAATCAGGTCCTCCTCCCAAATAAACAGGCCCTAAAGCAGAATGTGGCTGAACTACTGTGTTTATAGTAGAAGACAATCTTGTGTTAGTAATGGTAAATAGAAGTGACAATGTTGTCTCTGGGGAGGGTGACCTAATTCACTTTACTTTTCTCTGTGTATTCCTTTGTGCCTGTAGAATTTTGTACTATATATATATATATATATATATATATATATATATATATATATATAACCTGGTCTCAAAAATAAATTTAGTTAGGGTGAAAATGCCCGATTTTATGAAAAAGAAACTTGTTCGTGGCATGTGAAATATGGAGAGGTTGTGCTCCAGCCCAGGGAATATACTTGATTGTAGAAGGGAATCAGAAGTTAACTTCCTTCTGTCTCTCATCTCTCTCACTTCTGTGCGGTGTTAGAAGAGAGAGGCAGACGTAGTGGCAGCGAGGTCACCACTGAGACAGGAGCCAGTAAACCGAGAATGGATTGTGGTCACCTGGGGGCATCCAGAAACATCGGGGAGGAAAATGACCTCTCCAGCAACTAGGAAGCCAGAACCAGTCAGTATAGTGATCTAAGATTCTGGCCCTTGGAGAACTCAGGATCCAGGCATTCTTCTCTCTCAACCATTCTGCACTCTTCCCTGCCCTGGCACCACTGGCTATCTTACTCGTTGCCTTGAAATGCCTCCATAAGTTAATTTCATTAAGAAGGTATTTTTTGAATACCTGATGCAGGCAAGGCCCCGCATTCAGAACTTGATCCAGTAGGCTGAACTAATTCTCATCACCGAGAACCAGAACGAATTAAAAACTTCTTTGACTCTCTTTTTTTTCTACCCATGTACATCCCAAATAGACTTCCTAGTTAGTGTGCATCCACAGCATGTTGACTGTTTTTTTACATCCCTCAGGTGTGGCTTACTTACGGTAACTCAGAGCTACTCTGCATTACTGTGTTGTGTGATGCTGCAGTTTCGTGTTTGCAGGCAGAATTTTGCTCCTAGACTGAATTGGTGGCAGTAATGACTGATGGGAGCTAAAGTTTTATTCATGTATTCAAACTAGAAAATCTTTATCTATAGAAAATCTCTATCTTTATCTTTATCTCAGTGTCAACACACTATAGAGACCTAATAAATGACATGTAGAAGTGGGGGTGGGGGCATGCTGAGTGTGGTGTAGAGCCCGTCCCTGGTGAGAGAATAGTGTAGGCAACGGTGTGAGGAGCGTTTGGGAGAACACAGAATGTGGGTGTATTAGAAATTGTTTTGAATGAGATACTAAGAAGTTTGGTAGGTATCGGGGAGTCCTTCACAGTTTCTGAGCAGGAGAATGACCAGAGTTGCACAGCTGGTGCTCTGTCAAGTGTGATGGATGGATGGGTGGAAGGAAGGAAGGGAGGGAGGGAGGGAGGGAGGGAGGGAGGGAGGGAAGGAAGGAAGGAAGGAAGGAAGGAAGGAAGGAAGGAAGGAAGGAAGGAAGGAAGGAGTGATTCATCTGAATACTTTGTAAAGGAATACAGTATCTTAGAAACTTGTTTCATGTTTCAGGGTAAATTGACTGTTTAAGTATTGGAGTTATCTGTGGGTACTTAACTCTGTGTGAAAAAATCAGAACACGGATTTTTTTCCTTCAGTAGTTTCTATTTTGTTGAAGAAACATTAACACTTTGAATTTATGGGCCTTTGCAGAGCTCTGTCCAGGTAAATACTGCTTGAATTGTATGCCGATTTAGAATAAAAAAGTAAACTGCATAGTATGGAGTTAATCAGGGAATAGTTCTTGGAGGAAGTAATCAGCAATGTTACTTTCAGAGGGAAAGGAAGGATCCTTCAGCCTTATGGGAGATCCTGTTTGTCTTCTGATGCTGGATTAGATGTCGTCCAGGGGAAGGCAAACAGAAGGTGTTACACTGGAAACAGGTGAGGGAAAGTGCTTGCTTGGGATCATAAAATGCAAATATAATGCTGCCACTTCCTTGTTTCACTTAGTGAGTGGCATTCATAACCACCTCCTTATTTTCTCCTTCGTTTCGTTACAAAGGAGAGCCCATTTTAACTGTTTATGCTAGTTCTTATGAAACCAGAAAGTCGATGTGTGTGCTGCTTGTCACTGCCCAGCTAATGAGTGGAGACAAGGATTGAATCTCTGTGGATGCTCTGTTCAGATGCTGGTGAGCCGAAAAGACTGAGAAGACAGCGGGTTGGATTTGTGCCCTAAAACCCAGCGTAACCTCTTGACTGGGCAAGAGTTGCAGTCTGGTGGCGATTTTCCTCGTGCTTCTTGATTTGCATCATGGATGTTCCCTCCCTGGGACACAGCGGCTCAGACACCATTTCCATTGCTCACAGACCCTGTCAACTTATAACCGAGGCTGACATCTTGAACTCTTGAGTTCTCTTATCGCCTAGTATGTTGTTTTGGGTAGAACTGAACTACTCAGTCCTATTAATAGAAATAGTTAGCATGAGTTTGTTCTATTTTATATATAGTGCATAAAATTCTTGGAATTCTTTGCTGCTTTATCCTCTCTTAATAGTGCTGTTTTGGATGAGAGTGTTGTTTTTTACCAGCCTGTGGTTTATTTTTTATGTGAGGTGAAGCTAGTAGTCCAGAAAACATGTATGTGATAGATAAAGCAAATGAATTAATGAAAACGTTCTAATAGTCAGATAGGAAACACCAGAAATCTAAGGAGTAAATTATGGTAAGACATTACCACACACTTACTAAACTTTATACTAACATTTTGCCTCTATAGTTTGTTCATGATCAAATATTAAAACTGGAAGGGATAGGATAGTGGGAAAGGTACATTATATATCCAAATCCTGCTGTGTTTAATTTTCAAGATACAAAAGAAGGAATTGATTGAAATAGGATTCGTGGAAGGATTTTTTTTATTTCTATTTTTTTAAAGATGTTATTTATTTATTTTTAGACAGAGGAGAAGGGAGCAAATCCAGATCAATTAGTTCTTATCAACCTCTGTTATCGCCCAGGCGTCATCTGCTGCGTTAGCCCCTCACTCATCTGCTCCAGCCACACGGGCCCCTTGCCGCTCCCGGAACACACCGAGGGTGCTCCGGCCTCACTGCCGTGCACTTGCTGCTCCCCTGACAGGAGCGCTCTTCCTCCGGGTAGTGTCGAGGACAATTCTCGCTCGCCCTTCCTTTTCCTTCTCTACTCTGCCCTGGCCGCCCTAGCTAGGTTTCAGCCTGACTTCAGTGTTTTACATCCTCCTCCTTTGTTTGATTTCTGTTTCCATTGGCATTTTTCATGAACATACTTTGTATTTTACACATTTTTCTCATGTAGCATCTATTGTTATCTTTTTATTTAATACTGTATACCTAGAAGAGTACTTGGCACATACTGAATGTTCAGATACGGATGATATGGTGAGTGGTGGTAACAACAAAAATTTTGAGTCTTTCGAAGTATTTACAGTTAGGGTTGCATGTGTATGTAATACAAAACCACATACAAAACACATAGATGACTCAGTTTTAGGTGTAGGGAAAAAAGTATGTGGTTTTAATCTTGAAATCTCACTTCATGCCTTCAAGGACAGCATAGAACAGCAAGGAAGTGGCTTCCTGCCTATAGTATTAAAAACAGGAATCATACTGTTCATATAAGTCAAACATTAGTTAATAGTTAATAGGGAGAACTCTTAATTGTAGTTCAGAGCTTTCAGTCACCAGTTTTAATGGCCTTTCACAAGTTATTTCACCTAGTTTCCTTCATTAAATGGAAGTAAAGACAACACTGTTGGTTTATAAAGTAAATACTCCTAGTTATACAATGCTTTTTAACCATAGGATGACTCCAATTTCAACACTTCTTTGGGTGGAAATTATTTGGGATTTAAAAATTCTCTTAGTTTAAGTTTTGAAACAATCTTATCAAGTTTTAGCCATTTATATGTCTATCTTATGGAGTTATTTCCTTCTCTAGAAGAGGTGTTGCCATAATAGAAATTCAAACACTGTGGAACTTTTTTTCACTAGCCTGTCTTTGGTGCACAGTATTCTGTTTATCATCATCAGATGTCTTGAAATATTTCCACAGTACTCAGCTGTTCAGAGAAAGCTTCCTTGTCATAGGAGCCATAGTCCTTCTGGACAGTAGACTCTGGAGTTTATCTGGAGATATTTGGAAAACTCTGTGTTTGCAATCATAACTTATGATAGCCTATCCTCACACCACTAGTCATGTAAACACATTATTGAGCTTTATTTCTCTACCCCTGCTGTGGTGTTTATTTATATTCCAGTCAGCTGTGATGGCCAGAGCCGTGTGTGTGTGTGTGTGTGTGTGTGTGTGTGTGTGTGTGTGTGTTTAAACTGGCTGAAATATTAAATGTAAGATTTTCACTAATTGAATTTTCTTGTGGGGGAAGATAATTTATTGATTGGAGAAGTTGTACATGTCATTGCTCCAAATGATTGTTGTGAATTTGATAATTCACATTTTATTTACAAATAAGAACGCTTATTTTCTAAGAACTCTTACTCACATCTCACTGTCTCCTCACTG